CTTTCAATAAATCGTTAATTATTATTATTATTATTATTATTATTATTATTATTATTATTATTATTATTATTATTATTGTTATTATTATTATTATTATTATTATAAACACACACACACACACACACACACATACTATTACTACTACTTTCCTGTCACTCAGAATCGAGTATGACGACCATCCAGCTATGATACAATGATGTGAATTATCAAGGATGCTACCTACGTTCGTGAGTTTTAAGGTAACTAAAGAGGCCGATACGGGACCAGCAGAGTCGTTCACAGGTGTTGCACTTGTGGATGGCTACATCTAGTGCGGGAGGGGCGGCGGCAGCGTCTTTCCGGCACTGGCGCTTGTCTGCCTCGGTTTGCAGTCGGGCAATTTCGAAAGTATTGACACCTTCTCGTGTGGTGATCCTCCAAGCGTTACGGTGTAGAGTAATCGTTTCCAAGGTGAGGGGGTCGATTTGGCACTTTTTCAGGTTTGTCTTAAGACTATCCTTATACCTTTTCCGTTTCCCGCCAGCGTTACATTTACTATTAGTTAGGTGACTGCAAACTAGCTGCAGTCCGGCTTAGTTGTTCATGGATAATGGTGGCCTCGATGCCCCTACAGTTGGTGTCGGCGAGAATACTGGCATTTGTTCTCTTGTCTTCCCAGCGAATTCGGAGGATGGAGCGTGACTACTGTATGTTGGTGAAAGTTTTCAAGTGCCTTGAGGTGCCTCCTCTATGTAACCCATGTCTCACTGCCATATAGCAGGGTGGGGAGGACCACTGCTCGATATATGTGCAACTTTGTAGAAAATTTCAGCTCCCTACACCTGAAGACACGGGTACGGAGTCTACCAAAGGCTTGAGATGCACATCTGATCCGATGTTGAATCTTTTCATCTATCTCTGCGGTGGTGGACATGTGGGAGCCGAGATACTGAACGTGGGTAACATTAGAGAGGGTAGTACCGTTAAGCTGGATGGATGGTGGAGGTTGTGGTTGAACCAGGGGCAGGTTGAAATAGAATCCGAGTCTTGCGCACATTCACCTCAAGGCTGAAGTACACATACGCATCTGCATAGGTGTTCAGGATCTCCCGTAGGACGCGTTCAATTTAAGCAACAAACTTGAGATCGTCTGCATACTCAAGTTCAGTAATGGAAGCTGCGGACACATTTGTTCCTGCCTGGAGTTGTCTTATTTTGAAAAGATCCTTCATCCGGTATTCTATGTCCAACCCGCCAGCTAAATTAGCATTAGCAAGGAAAGTGGCTAAGCAAAATGGAAAAGAGAGTTGGCGCCATTACACACCCTTGTTTTATCCCGGTTTGGATGGGGAAGAACTCAGACTGGGTGCCATTGTGAAGGACGCTGCCGTTCATGCCGTCGTGGAGTTGCCTCACAATGGTGATGAATTTTGGTGGGCAGCCAAACCGATTAAGGGTCCGCCAGAGATCTTCCCTGTTGACCGAGTCGAAGGCCTTGGTTAGATCGATGAAGGCCATGTACAGGACACGAGACTGTTCTCTGCACTTTTCCTGTATCTGGCGGGCAGTAAAGACCATATCAGTGGTGCCACGTGATGGTCTAAAGCCACATTGAGATTCTGGGAGGAAGTGTTCTGCCTCAGGAAGAAGTCTGTTTAGGAGGACTTGGGGGGGATAATTTTACCAGGTATGGACAGTAACGAGATCCCGCTGTAGTTTCCACAGTCTGACCGGTCTCCCTTGTTCTTATAAATATTGATGCTGGAGGCTTCTTTAAGAGCTTGGGGGATTTCCTCCTTTACATTTATATTCTCCAGGAGTGAGTGGAAACGGCTAGTAAGCAGAGATCCTCCTGCTTTATACACCTCGGCTGGGATTCTTTCAGGCCCCGAGGCTTTGTTATTTTTCATCTGTTTGATGGCAGTAACTACCTCATCCAGGGATGGAGGATCTCTGAGGTGGGTCAGCTCTGGATGCTGAGGGACCTGCTGGGTAGTCAGGATATCCACATCGGTGTTTTGGTTGAGCAGTGAATGGTAATTATTTTTTGTTTTATGGGGATTAGCCCACCCGGGCACAGGTCACTGACCCACATCGGGGCCTCGGGGGCAAAAATGTAATAATAATAATAATAATAATAATAATAATAATAATAATAATAATAATAATAAATACAAAATGAAAAAATATTAAGAGTGAGAAACAATATATGTTTGTTGTGTTGTTAAAGTAAAAGAAACAATTGAGACCCTGCAATTGTGTGTAAATGAGGCAGAAAGTCAGATCAGCGACCTGGGACTTGGTCACAATTTTCGTGATGCCATATGGCAGCAAGGTCTACCATTAGACAATGCATTATGCTTCCAATATCTTCCCAGGCAGTAGTACCTCCCTGTTTGGTAGCTACCTACTACCTACTACCTACTAATGCCCTTTCCAGTGCTGACTGATGCTTTCTTCATTTTTAACTTGGGATTTACCGTCGGATGAGTGGAGTGGGTCTGTGCCATGAGTGATTAGCCCATAAAATGTTTTAGTGGAATTGAAAATTTTGCATATCTTGTGTTGATCTGCAAGAATTTGCGTTTCACATGCTTTATTTTTAAGCCAGTCGTTCTTTAGTTTGCGAAGTTCCCTCTGGGCCGCAGCTTTCTTCTTGTGGAAGGTATCAGCTTTGGTCCTAGACTGAGGGTTGTTCTGCCAGTCAGTTAAAGCAGCGCTTTATCATCGACGGGTACAATGATTTCCGGGTCATTTTCATCAAACCAGTCCTGGAGTATTCTTTCGACCTGGCCGAGGGTCTCTGCAGGTTTTTGTCATGACAGTGTCGAGAATATCCCATTCGGTACTGGGATTTGGGTTGTTTGTTGTAAGGTTGTTTATCAGCCCATGTTTGAGCTGCCCTCTGAAATCATGTGCTACTGCTGGATCTTCCAGACGTTTAGTGTTAAAACCTCTTTTGGAGGCTTGTTGCCTTAGCTGTTTTGGGGCGACATGAAATGAGAGCTTAGCTCTGACGAACCGATGATCAGTGTCGCAGTGGTATAAACCACGCATGGCTCGGGTGATGAGGACATCTCAGCGATCTCTTTCGCTGACAATGATGTAGTCAATGAGATATCAGTGTTTGGATTGTGGGTGTTGCCACGAACCCTTGAACTTGTCGGCCTGCCTAAGCAAGGTATAAGTGAGAGTAATTTTGTGTGCAGCACACTTGCTGAGGAGGAGCAGCCCATTGGGGTTACACTTGCCTAGTCCATTTCTCTCTATGATTCCCTGCCAAATGTCAGCATCTCTTTCAACTTTGGCATTGAAGTCACCAAGGAACACAACCTTATCTTCTCTGGGGATAGAGGTTAGCACACTGTCGAGGTCAGCGTAAAAGGCCTCCTTGATGTCATCCTCTGCATCCAGTGTTGGGGCGTATGCACTGATGAAGAAGGCATGACGTGAGTGATTCATTGGGACTCGGGCCGTCATGAGGCGCTCATTGATCCAAGCAGGCATTTCAGTTAGCCTGTGTAAGATACGTTGGCGGATGGAAAAGCCAACTCCATAAATGCAGTTTCTCTTCGCAGCAGGCTTACTCTTCCAGAAGAGGGTATAGCCTGATCCCTGTACTGAAAGTCGACCCTCGTCTGGGAGCCGGGACTCACTCAAGGCTGCGATATCGATGTTATACCTAGCCAGCTCCTTTGCCACAAGGGCGGCTCTTCTTTCAGGATGCTCATTTGTGCCAGTATCCAGAAGGGTCCTGACGTTCCATGCAGCGACCATAAGAGGTTGTATAGTTTTTTTTTTTATCTGTGATTATGATTGTGTTTCCGACCGCATAAAGGTGACCTTACTTGCAGTCATCTCTGCCTGTCCCCGTCGCCACTCGTCCGTCGCCATAGAACTTTTGATGATGATGAGGAGTATGATGAGCTGGATGATGGTTGTACTCGAGTTGGTTTATGTGGAGAGGCAGGAGTGCAGGCTGCAACCACACATCTTGGCTCTACCTTTTCTTGATTCAGTGGTGCAGGTGTTGCAACGACTGGGAAGAGGGAGAGTAACCTCAAATGTTACAGATGCACCAAGCTTCCCTTGCTGCTGTCAGGGAACGTGTAAACGAACTCAGACATATGTCAACAGCCTGAACCAACACACATCCCTCAGCAAAGCCTGGAAAGACATAAACACAGTAGACACGTCTCCTGTCCAAATCCTCTGCAAAAGTCGAATGAGCTAATAACAAAGTGGGCTCATGTCTCTAGCTGTGACATGTTACCAACTAGGACTCGGGGACTCCTTGCTGGCTAATAATCTTATTAAATTTATGCTAGGCAAACAGCACGATGAGTGTGATGTTCCATATACCGAGTGGGAGCTTGACGCCACCCTCGCCAGGGGTAGGTCTACTTCCCCTGGAGAGGACGGAGTCACCTTCAACATCGTTAGACTACTAAGGCGTGTGCCGGGCAATCCATTATTGGTATTGTACAATATGAGTCATGCCTACCCACATCATGGACCAGCAGTATTGTTGTACCAATACCGAGACCAGGACAGCCTGATGCTTTTCGTCCCATATCACTAACCAGCTGCCTGTGTAAAGCCTTTGACAGGATGGTTCTTGGCAGACTCTTATATAGAATCAGAGAAAACATGTCATGTCTCCTAACATAAATGGCTTCACCCATGGGAAAGGTGCACATAATTGCAACAATACACTCAAAGCCAGGTAAAAGTGCTCGTTAATAGCTGTATTCAGGAAAGTATTCTACCTCCTCGGGGAGTATGCACCCCCCCCCCCCAGCCAGGCTTCTATTCCTCCCCCCACCTGCAATTACTCTGATAGAGTCGCTACAGTCTTCGTAAAATGGCACCCCTCCCGCTACTCGCCACCCCTCCCTCCTTCTCTTTCCACACCTCTCCTCTTCTCCCTTTACCTCCCCTCCTATCCTCTCCCCATATTTCACCCCCCCCCTCCCCATCCCCTCCCTCCCCTTACTTCACGTTGCTCCTCACTTCCCCTCAGTCGCCACACCTCCCTACAGTCCGTGGCCACACCTCAGTACAGGCGGTGGTGGAGCAGCCAGGTGTACTCTCCCAGGTAAGGTAACTCGCTCTTGTTATTTTTGGCTGACATCATACACTGTAAGATTGGCTTCTGGTCATTCCTTAAACCTTGCAGCTGGATGACTGTAAATACCTGCATTAAGTAACTCATTATTTAAATTGTTATGGAACTCGTCAACCTCAGATCTCGTAATCAAGTCACCCTCAACCGTCATATTTTGTGAAGTTATAGTTGTCAGGTCACCAGGTAAAGTGAGGTCGTCCTCTGTGGGTACATTGTGTGAGGTCACCTCACGTGAGGTCATGTAATTCACCCCCAAACATAATACCCCTTCTCTCGGCTGCCTTTTCAACCTATCAAAGTTTGCCCTTCTGAAATCTTGGACTTTAATGGAATTTTCCTTGCATCTGACATTAAGTTCTAATTTGAATCTCACTTCTTTATGATCGCTGTTAGCTAGTTTGTTCCCTCGACATTACTAATGAGGTTTTCTCGGTTTGACAGAACTAATTTGAGTATATTATTACCCCGGGTGGGTTCGGCCATATGTTGGCTTAGGAAACAGTCATGAACTGTTTCAAGAAAATCCTCTGATTCTGAGTTACCTGTAAGGTCGGTCCAATCTATTTGAACAAGGTCAGAACAACATATTCCCATCATTGCTGTCAGTTCATTACTCATCATTCTATTAGTAACTCTGTGGGTCAGTTCACTACCAATACAATAATATTAGTGACTGCTCCTGAATCATTTACTAGAGCAGTGTCTCGTCTGACTTACCTCCCAAGTACATCTTATATCATTGCTCACTACACTAGCTTCTCTTACTACGCTATTAGTTAAGATACAAAGTTGCCGTTGAGAACCAGTTCCCTTTTTCTCCTCACAGTCCAACACATGTTCCCTTCTCTCCATCACAACTCTAAACTTCATTTAAGAGTTTCCCAATAACCCATACATCTTCAATCCTTCTTACATCACTTTTTTACCCGCTCTAAATTTCCGGTATTGTTTGTGTTTTTACGCAAGGTCTTGATCCACACAGTCTCGAGGACCCTTTGACACTGCTCTTCCGCCAACTCTCAGTAACAACACACCATACTCTCTCCCTGATACTGTACAGAATTAACCCCTGTAATATTTAATTGTCGCATTTCTCTTTATACGGAAAAGTACTTGATACTCTACACTTTTTTGGCAACATTGTACATAAGTTAAGATTACAAGTTCTTCAAAATTAATGTACTTTCTAGAAGATAGATTCTCGAAAAAAAGTTACTTAAGTACAGTTATTTCACTATTCCATATATCTGGTGTGAGGTTAATGATTGGTTAGATTAAGTTTGGTTGGGTTAGATTAGGTTACCTTAGGTTAGTTTAGGTTGGTTTAGGTTAGGTTAGGTTGGTTTAGGTTAGGTTAGGTTGGTTTAGGTTAGGTTAGGTTGACCCCAGGTGAACATAATAAAATTGTCTCGTCAAATGCTAACTTAGATTTCAGTTAAGTTGTCTCTATACATTCCACATATTAACGCAAAAAGATCAATTTGACTTATATACAACAATACATAGATACACATACATACATACATACATACATACATGACTATTAATAACATATGTAAATATCATACATACATGGCTAAATAACATACACACATCGTCGTGTAAAAACATACATACATACATATATACATGACCAGTGACAAGAATTACAGTGCAACTATCTCCATTTCCTATGTGTGGGTTGTTATGTTATTACCCCCACAACAACATATGATTGATAAGTAGATTACCAGATAAAAAGTCCATTATACACCAAAGACATAACCTGCCTTTACCACCACCTGCCTTACCATTGTGTGTGTGTGTTAGTAAATGTTACAAGATCAACAAAACCAACAAACGAACACAACCATCAGTTTAAGAACGATTTTGCTTTAACATTCAGTAAGATAAACAAACATTCGGTTATTTGGGGTCATATAGCAAAGTTGGGAATACTGAATAGTTGTTTGAGAGAGAGAGAGAGAGAGAGAGAGAGAGAGAGAGAGAGAGAGAGAGAGAGAGAGAGAGTATTACCTTCATATAGTTACAGTAATATTATTTGAACTTAAACATGATAATTATAATGTACAGCCCAAGAGGTATAGCACTCTGTTGACAAGTATTGGACATATAGGGCTCTCTGTTACACACTGTTGATAACACACATACAGCTTTTGTAACATAACACACCACACAACGCAACACAACACAACACAACACAACACAACACAACACAACACAACACAACACAACACAACACAACACAACACAACACACCACACCACATAACACAACACGACCACACCACACAACACACAACACAACACAACACACCACACACAACACACCACACAACACACAACACAACACACAACACACAACACACCACACAACACCACACACACCATACACAACACACACCTCAAGATAAGATCACGTTTACCTGTCATAAAACGTAATTAATGAACACATAGGTAAAAATGACCACGTGTTATTGTTAAAGATAATTGTTGTCTATTACCATAAAAGAAACATGAACAGCAATAATGTTCCTCGATTGACATAAAAAATTTGGAAAGACAAAAAGGTCAAGGTGGTGTGAGAATTAATCTACGGTCAATACAAGAACCAGCCAATTGGCGAACTGATGTCTGAGTTACCAGGGGTTTTGGCGAACTGATGTCTGAGTCACCAGGGGTTTTGGCGAACTGATGTCTGAGTCACCAGGGGTTTTGGCGAACTGATGTCTGAGTCACCAGGGGTTTTGGCGAACTGATGTCTGAGTCACCAGGCGTTTTGGCGAACTGATGTCTGAGTCACCAGGAGTTTTGGCGAACTGATGTCTGAGTCACCAGGCGTTTTGGCGAACTGATGTCTGAGTCACCAGGCGTTTTGGCGAACTGATGTCTGAGTCACCAGGCGTTTTGGCGAACTGATGTCTGAGTCACCAGGAGTGATGCATTTGTAGTGGTGCCCTGGAGGAGTGTCGCATTTGTAGTGGTGCCCTGGATAGGCTACACGTTTGGAGTTTAGTCAAAAGTGAAACCTTTGTAGGTCTGTAGCTTTACGTTAGGTTAGGTTAGGTTAGGTTAGGTTAGGTTAGGTTAGGTTAGGTTATGTTAGGTTACGGCTGCAAGATCAAGTGTAAAAAGTGACGACGTTTGTAGCCGCGAACTGACGTGATGGCGAGTTTTGGCGACATGATGGCGGGTAGAGGAGTTTCATGGCCAGTGATGCTCTTCTTGGTAACCTCCCTCTTGGCATCACCAGGTTAGTAAGACTTTCTTGACGCTCAAATATCATCAAATATTTATCAGTCTTGTTGAATATTCCTCTTTACAGCTTTCATGTTATTTTGAATGTCTTATGTAAACTGTATATCAACTCTCTCTCTCTCTCTCTCTCTCTCTCTCTCTCTCTCTCTCTCTCTCCCCTTTAAAAGCTCCCAAATCTTCCATCAGCACAGTCCATCAAGGCAGCAGCCATAGAGGATCACCGGGGTGGGTCGTGTCACCAGGTACAAGACTCCAACGCCTGGCCTCACCCTCACAATGCCACTCTCTGCGCTCTAGTGCGACCTGAGCTCCAACAACCAAAACAACCAGCCACCGTCCTTCAGTACCACAACCTCGGGGCCTATATCATTGCTGGTGAGGGAACAAGTCCGTTATCTAGAGGTTTACTGTAGGTGATGGAACAAGTCCGTTATCTGGAGGTTTACTGTAGGTGATGGAACAAGTCCGTTATCTGGTGGTTTACTGTAGGTGATGGAACAAGTCTGTTATCTGGAGGTTTACTGTAGGTGATGGAACAAGTCCGTTATCTGGAGGTTTACTGTAGGTGAGGGAACAAGTCTGTTATCTATAGGTTTACTGTAGGTGATGGAACAAGTCCGTTATCTGGTGGTTTACTGTAGGTGAGGGAACAAGTCCGTTATCTGGAGGTTTACTGTAGGTGATGGAATGTTCGCTATCTGGTGTTTATCAGCTGTGAGGGAATGCTCATATCTGAGGTTTACTGTAGGTGAGGGAACAAGTCTGTTATCTATAGGTTTACTGTAGGTGATGGAACAAGTCCAAGACTGGAGGTTTACTGGCAGGTGATAGAAACAAGTCCGTTATCTGGAGGTTTACTGTGGTGTGAGGGAACAGTCTATATCTAGGTTACTGTGAGGTGATGGAACAAGTCCGTTATCTGATAGTTTATCATTGTAGGTGAGGAACAAGTCCGTTATTCAAGGTTTATCAGGTGAGGAACAAGTCCGTTATCTGGTGGTTTATCAGGTGAGGGAACAAGTCCATATCTAGAGGTTTACTGTAGATGGAAACAAGTCTGTTATCTGGAGGTTTACTGTAGGTGGGAGGGAACAAGTCTGTTATCTGAGGTTTATTGGTGAGGGAACAAGTCCGTTATCTGTAGGTTTACTGTAGGTGATAAACATCAAGTCTGTTGACCTTGGTGGTTTACTGTAGGTGAGGGAATGTCTGGTTATCTATAGGCTTATCAGGTGATGGAACAAGTCCGTTATCTGATTTACTGTAGGTGAGGAAATGCTCACATCTGTAGGTTTACTGTAGGTGAGGGAACAAGTCCGTTATCTGAAGGTTTACTGTTGGTGAGGGAACATGTCCGTTATCTGGTGGTTTACTGTAGGTGAGGGAACAAGTCCGTTATCTGAAGGTTTACTGTAGGTGAGGGAACAAGTCCGTTATCTGTAGGTTTACTGTAGGTGAGGGAACAAGTCCGTTATCTGAAGGTTTACTGTAGGTGAGGGAACAAGTCCGTTATCTGGTGGTTTACTGTAGGTGATGGAACAAGTCCGTTATCTGGTGGTTTACTGTAGGTGAGGGAACAAGTCCGTTATCTGGTGGTTTACTGTAGGTGAGGGAACAAGTCCGTTATCTGAAGGTTTACTGTTGGTGATGGAACAAGTTCTTCAGAATATCACTAATACTGTATATTCGGTCTATAATAATCAGTGTATTGAGTATTTTATTTAAGTTTCTAATATTCTCTCTCTCTCTCTCTCTCTCTCTCTCTCTCTCTCTCTCTCTCTCTCTCTCTCTCCTTCCTGACCCAGGCTTTAGTTACATGAGGTTGTGGGTAGCGGCTGACGGATTCAGGACCTCATTCAACGCTTCCTTCATCCCGGAGTTCTGGAACCCCTTGTGTTTTGGTGCTACGCCTAACCAAACCCAGGTGAGAGAGAGAGAGAGAGATGTATAGAGAAAGTGACATAGAAAGACAGAGAGAGTGAAGAAGATAGAGGGAGACACAGATAGATAGATAGATAAGCAACTATGATCTGTTCTCTCTTAAGTGTTTTTTAGTACTACAATGTGTTGACAGTGTATGAGGGACTGACCTTGAATATTTTGTGTTATGTTCTTGGATGAGTGTGTGTGTGTGTTGAGTTACCTGCCATCAAATCTTTCGTCCTTCCCTCTCTCCTTTCCTCTGTGCCTCACTCTTTCTAATGATCTCTCTCTTACCTTTCCTCCTTCCCGCCCTCCTTCATTTCTTTCTTTCTCCTCTTTTTCCTTCCTTTCTTCGTCCCATCCTCCCTCTCTCCCTCCCTTCTTCATTCCATTATTTCGTCACAATGTTACAGGTGTGGGCTGTGTTACGAGGTACTCCCCTGACAGTTAGTACCAAGACAGAAGTGGACCTCGACCACCAGGACCCGGGGCTCTGTGTAGGCGACACCCACAAGAAAAACACCTTTACCGGGTTTGTGACGGCCGTCTCCCTCAAGCCTGGACAACTGACTGATCGATCTTCTGAAGGATCTAGTGGCTGTAATATCGTGGCCTACACTGTGACGGCCCTCCCCTTCACCTCTGCCTGGAGTAAAGACGGACCTATGGAGATAATTGATGTTCCTGAGGATAAAGTGTGTGACCAGTCATATAATACTGTTCTTCTTAAGGAATTTCATGGCTACAACGGCTTGCGACAGGCGTGCAGGAGCCTCGGTGGCCATTTTCCTTCAAAAGAAGAGATAGAGTCTGATGATGTAGTGATGACGGCTAATGAGGTCAACACTTGTACCACAGATGAAACACACTTGTCGTGGGTCAACAGTGAAGACTCGCTGGCAGGAGGGTTGATGGCTAACTGCTCAACACTGACGACTAATGGCGGCTCGGGGTCACGGCCTTGTCTCACCGAGCTGGAATGCAGCTTATGCCGGGTGCCCGTCAAACTCCGCTTTACTCTCTTCGGTAACATCAAGGACTTCGACAGGTATTACTTCTTACGAATGTTGCCCAGTGGAGGTATTTACTTCGATGGACTAAAAACTAGCAACATCACCCAGCAGGGGAACCTGTGGGTGTTGAGGTCTCGACTACACCAACGGATGTGGTGGGTACAACAAGACTCCCGGCCGGTGGGGCGTTACTTGTGGCACTCTAACGACAGCAACACAATAATAACACTTTCCTCATGCAACATCTTGCAGTTCTCATCCAATGATGGTGTCTGCCTCCTCAGGAGTCAGCGATGTGACGGTCAAAAAAACTCTCCTGACGGGAGCGACGAAGAAAAATGTCGAGAACGATTGATGACCAAGGAACCTTACTATGACCCTCAGAACGGTCCATATCGTGGAAGTAATAAGGGAGGTACACTAATTTACAAATTGTATATGACCAATATTGCGGAAATAACAACTGAACATGGAGTAGCGAACGTTGAATTGGGTGTCAAGTTACAATGGAGTGACCCCCGTATTAGATTCGTCGACACAAAGATGACTGCAAACTTCATCACCTGTGACGACGTGTGGCGGCCCGTGCTGGGGGCGGTGGCCGGTTACAAGAGAGGTCGAGAAGCTGAGATGAAGGGCTTCAACTCCTATTGTTTCGTCCACTGGCGAAAGAAAAAAGTGGATGAAGAACTAGATTTGAATGATCCATTAATGGGTAAGTTATAAGTATATCTGTAATTCATGTGATCAAGATATTTGTATAAATATAACAATATAAACAGTTATTAATCTGTTAAGGAAACCTATCAAGAGAGTTAAATTTAGTACTCTGTATTTTATCTCTTCCTTTTTTTTGTATAAACGTGTATAAAACATTTTTTTATAATTATTGTTACAGTTTTTCACAAGTTCTTTGTTTCAGTTTTAAAGTGAATTATTCAACGAGTGTAATTATGATTACTTGGAAAAGAGTTTCAATAAGTGAGAGGCGCCTTTAGGTGGCCATGTTAGATAGTTACTGTGGATTGTGTTGCCATTATATATTAGAGCTGTTTTAAAGATCCCGAAGTAAAATATATCTAGAGCAAAAGTTTTCTCCTTATCGTCAAACCAAAAATATTGTTAACGTCTCATGTACACACTAAGACAAGACTGTACCCACAGGTAAGTCTGCCAGCGGCCGAAACATCAACATCACACAGTGGATGGACTACACAATCAACGCTCCCTGTCATTTTAAAGTCCACAGATATCCCTTCGGCACATATGTGTGTAACATCTCGTTTTACCTTGTGAGGTCCACGGAAGAGATGGCCTTCAAGTCATCCGACTACAACAGGACTGTATACAGACTGTCTTACGATGGGAATCACGACTTACTGGACTACCACCTTCAGGAGGTGACTGTGGAGTCCTTGACAGACCATGTGACCATCACCCTACACCTGAAGGGACAAGCCCACTACCATCTGCTCAACAGCTTCGCCCCCAGCGCCCTCATGTTCATCATTTCCTACGCCACACTGTACTTCCCCGTCACAGACTTCAACGAGAGGATCATGGTGTCGCTGACGTCGTTGTTAGTGTTGGCTTCGCTCTTCGCTCAGGCCACCGACTCCTACGTCAGGACTCCTTACTACAAGCTTATCGACATCTGGTTCGCTTTCCTCATCATCCTCAGTTTTGCTGTTGTTATCGTCAACGCTGTAGTAAACTCCTTAAGGATAAACGAGGACACCGTTCGTCCCCATATGATAGACATCTCCCTCAAAGGTAAGATGAAAGCAATCAAAGCCAAAAAGTTTAATAAATTCTGTAAATATGTTCTTCTCAATTTATTTCTGTTACTTTTGGTGTTTTACTTTTTCTGTGGTGCCGAATTAATCTGAAGTGTGGGTGTGTGTGCGTGTGGGTGTGTGTGCTAATAATAATAATCATAATAATTATAATAATTAACGGTTTATTGAAAGAGCATGGCAGCCGGAAAGCTGAAAATATACAGTTACATAATTGGATAATGAATCACTTGATGAACAAGTAACATAAATGATACAAATATGATATATAATAACTAGGTGGGGAGAAGGTCAAACTACAGGGCATTTCAACATAGTGACAGTGCAAAAAGGTAAGATCGACTGGTAGTGAATACACTGGTTTATTACAAGTTATTGATAATTTTTACAACGGTTGGGACTGGGCTGTTCTTATAGCGATCAGTTCGTGCTCGTATGAGTTGGATGAGGCTGTGGTGTCGAACAGCAATTCTCGGACGAGGGATCTCGGGTGGAAGTAGGAGCCGGTGTCGAGGATGGTGCAGAAGCTTCTCACCAAATTTGCAGATGTGGTCGTGGTGATGGTCAGAGAGAGCCGAGAGGGTCAGTGTGTTGAGCGGTTCTTGATATGTGGAGTAGGAAGGGGAGAGAATAATCTTGCATCCACCTCTTCTGCACTTTTTCGAGGTGTTTACGTTGTGTGGCATTTAGGGAGGAAGACCAGGTGTGGGAGGCATAGGTGAGCTTGGGAAGTATGAATGTTGAGTAAGCATTGAGGAGCTCGGGGGCAGGAACTCCGAGGGACTTGATTCGGCGGAGGAGGTGGAGACGAAAACTGGAGGATTTGACAACTGTACTGACGTGTGTTTTCCAATTTAGTTTATCTATAGTGACACCGAGGAGCTTAGTGGAGTCCACAACCTGGAATGTGGGGACCTAAAATAATAGAGGGAGGTGGGACAAGGTCGGAGGAGAGGTTGATGTGCATAACTATGGTCTTGGTATGGTTGATGGTGGCGTGGTTGTTGGTGGCCCAATTTTGGAGACTTCAGTAAATCCTGGAGGGCGGTGTAGTTGGGAGCCGAGTTGTTGACACTGCTCCAAATGGTAGAGTCGTCGACAGATTTCCAGCGATCAGAGGTTTCTCTTTGGGACGCCACGGGTGAGTGACTGAAAAGTGGAGACAGCCCCTCGGAAGCGTACGACTTGACGTAGGTCACTAAGGAAGTCTGTAAGTCCTGTGTGTGTGTGTGTTGGTCTACTTCGCCATTCTGCAGTCTTATGGCAGAAAATTGCGCTACCCGGGTTTATGAATTAAGGTCTGATTTGAAAATCCGGGTTGTAAAAATAAACTATGTCTCGATTTTACTTACGTCAGTTTTCAATATTCTGCGACACACACACACACACACACACCCACATATAAAATTTTCCCGCAAATGTAAGTGCGTCTTGATGCTTTACATAGTAACAAATAAATTGACATTTCATGTGTTTTAGCGTTACCTGTCAAGTAAGTCAGGTTATGATGTTAGGATAAGTTCTGGTATTTACATTATAGTTAGATAGATAGATAAAAAAGTTTATTGACCACAAAAATGTGCAAATTACACAAATACAAACATAATCAATACCTTAAATAAAATCTGTACAAGATTTAAGGTCCACAAAGAATATAAAACAAAACCATTATCGTGGTCTGGATATCATACGATAAGTACACATGTGTATTACTTTTACTTTTATCCTCTTCACCACTGATCGGCTCGTTAGCCGCTTGGGCGGTCAGCCACGTCTCTGTTACGCACTGTTGGCAAGTACTGGGCTTGAAAGAGCTCACACTCAGTGCCATCACAACACTTTCTGGCAGGATGTTCCTAGAGTTTACAATTCTCACTCCGAAGAAGTTTGTCCTCACAATTTTCTGGACTTCTGGCTTCTTCAACCTTGACCTGTGACCCCTTGTGGGGCGAGCGTCCGCCAGCTCCATGTATGGATCCTCAACTGAGTAGTGCCCCCCTGAGATGTTTATAAACTTCAATTAGGTGGCCCCCCCCCCTCCCCTGCCCGTCCATAGTAAGCTATAGGCAGTTGGAATATCTCTTCTCTCTCTCGATAAGTTTGGTGCCGTAGTGCTGGCACCAGTCTGGTGGCTCCCCTTCGGTAATTTTCAATCAACTGACAGTCCCTAACATATATCGGGGACCAAACGGGTTGACAGTACTCCAGGCAGGGAAGCACCTCACTCCTGAAAGTTGTTACGAGGGACGGACTGTCTAGATATCTGAACGACTTTCTTGTAAGACCTACTAGTGTAGTTGCTTGGTTCACATTCTCACAATGGCCTGAGAACTTCAGTTCTTTGTCAACATTCACACCCAGGCGCTTTTCACATTCCGTCTCTATCAATGCAGTTTCTTCTTCCCGTTGGGACATGTGACACGCCTCTTTACTGTTGGTACGCCCCAGGTGCATCCTCTTTCACTTCGTGACATTGAATGTCAACAGCCATTTCTTTTACCATTCTTGAAGCTCACAGAGATCTTTCTGCAGCTCTTCACAGTCTGGTTGGTTCTTAATTTCCTTGAATAACTTGGCATCGTCCTCAAACATTTGTATGGAGGAGTGTATAGTTTCTGGCATGTCATTTATGAAACAAACAACAACGGGCCCAGTGCATTGCCCTGTGGTACCCCGCTTATCACGGGAACACATGACGATTTCGTGCCATTAGTCACCACACAATTTGCGATCATGCAGAAAGTCTCCGATCCACGCGAGGACACTTCTTCGAATCCCGTACCCATCCAGTTTAATTTTCAGCCTTTCATGGGGTACACTGTCGAAAGCTTTGGCGAAATCCAGTTATTTTTTGTCGATATTGCCACCCTGTTTCAGAATTTGGGTCCAAAATCCTCCCTCCCTCTGCTTCAAGCACCACAGAAGTTGTTGGTGCCGTTCCATCTGCATTACCTTTTTATTTTTTTTTTTACTTTCAGAATAACTTGTTTTCATCATTTTCTAATGTGATCCTGAGGGGAGCTGACAGGTTCAGAGCCTCTGTACAAATATTCTGAAACTCTACCTTATCATTTTTTTCCTACTCTCAGCTTCCTCCGACTAGCTCTCAGGGACTCCAAACTCTATTATATTGTTCCTGCACTTGAAACATTCTTCGTGTTCCACCTCTCCCTTATCAGTAGGTCTACTATTTGTCATCTTTTCAACACTCTTTTGCAGAGTCCCTAGCTGCTCCATTACTCTCCATCACCTTCTGTGACCCTGCTGCAACCTGAGCATAGCTCTTCTTAACAACTTCCTCTGTTCTGTCAGCTACTTCCTCAGTCTTAGTGAGGATCTTTTTCCCAACTTGCTCTAGTTTGGCAACCAACAAAGATCCAGTTTCCTCTAATTTCGTCTCTTAAGTATCTCCTTCCATTATGGTCCGCCATAGCCTCGTTGACTTTGGTGTTACAATATCAGCAACCGGTTCCTCCATCCTTTTCGTTTATTAACTGGTTACCTAAAGCCTGCCGGCTTCACTAAATCCTCAGTGTCCTTACAAAATTTACCCTCACAGTACTCTCATGCCAACACACTTTCAGTTCCTTCACTACACCTATGCATGTCTTGTCTTATTACTTGTTGTGATAACTTTACCTTGTGGTGACTCACAGCTGTTACAAACAGCTCAAGACGAAGCGTAAATTTATACTTTAATGCGCCTTTAATTGCTTTCTCTGCGTCAAGGAATTTACTTTCTGATGCGCGACAGTTTTGTTCTAGAGTATTTGTGACAATATTGGACCTTTAAAGTTTACGATACCCAGCGTGCAATCCAGCATAGGCCTCAGTGCCCACCTCTCTAACCTCCCATTTGTTCAGAGGAAGATTTAATCTCAGTTTAATAATAATAAAATAATAATAATTAACGGTTTATTGAAAAAGTTCTGCAGCCCGAAGGCTGAAAATATACATTAGACAAAAATGACTTATTACATACAAAGACATTACTAAAAGGAGAAGGAACATGAATTGAACATACAAATTATTATAGTTTACAGCTGATGGCCCGGGCTGGTCTCTTGCCATACTATGTGAGGTCACGGAGTTCTAGTGGTGTAGTGACTCGTCCGTAGGTGATGATATGAAGGACCTTAAGTGGTCATGGAGACATCCGGTGGTGTCACAGTACCTCACTCTTTGCTAGGTGGTGTTGTGTTATCTCGTAGTCAGGTGTAAAGCCGGCCCTCTGTTGTTCTCAGGGTGAAGTGATTAACACCCTCTGGTCAGAGGATGGTTCCCAGTGGTGCTTATCTCACTGGTGGGTCACGGCTCTCACTGGTACTGTCTAGTGCTGAATTCACTGGCTAAAACACTGTTCATCACTGTTCAACACTGATCTAACTTCTTTCCGAAACGAAATTGTCACTTTTGATTGTGTTGATATCCCGGTGGTGAGGATGGGTCGGGGAGCGAGACTTGGGGAATGGGCCAACATGGCCAAGGGGGGTAGTTGCTCAGCAGGAGCAGCTCCTGATAGATCTTGACCCTCCGGTGGTCAAGGATGTGAGCATTCGTGCCCTGGTGGTAAGATAATAAATATAATGTAAAAGTCACTAAGGTGTCCTCCTCGTCTTGGCCTCCTTCGACCAGTGTTGCTGTTAGGAAAGTTTTATTTTTCCCCCGTTATTTCATCCAGTTTCCCTACGATTTTTTTTTTGTGGCACCAATATTGTTTTCTCGTTGCTTCCAGTCACTGATGCCTGCTGTTTCCTCCAATTTATACCACCCAAGTTTTTTCTTTCTCTTTTTTCAAGTTTCCATAGCGGTCACCGTTATCACTAAGGACTGTCTTAGCTGAAGGCACAGCACTACACTCTTTGGTCGACCTATGGACTGTCAATCACAGCCATGGACACGTCTAATATAAGTTTTCTGTATAAATCTTGGCATGTCACTGAACTTACGGTTGTAGCCACACAGCTCGGCTATCGTGCGTAAATTATGTGTATCATATCCATACTTATATACTTGTTCTCTGTTTATAATAGGCCTTGGCGAGCAAATATTTACACGCACTAAGTAGGAAAGCCTTTAGTGAGAATAAACTACAATATGTAC